GGCATTTTAAACTGTTAGTTCTCCTTTATTGGGGTAGGTAGCAGAACAGTACCATGAGAGGAGTAGAACAGGAAGAAGGCAGAATTGAGACCTTTCAAAGTTTTGGCAAAAGTCAGGGGGTATAGGGTGTCATTTGAGCTCCCTGCCTCAGGTGCCAAAATGTTGTGGGCTGGCCCTGCATTCCAAGGCTATATATATATATTCATTCATTCATTCATTTATGTAAGTGAAATTACATTTGTAGAGAAAACAAACAAGCTAGTCTTTATAATTTTTCTCATTTGAAAGTTTTCTAAATCTTATTTTATGATTGGGCTCAATTCCACCCTCAGAGTTAGGGAGCAGATTCCAAAATTTAGAATCATTCATGTAGTAGAGGGACAGCCAATGAGCAGTCTCCATTAATAAGTTTTGATCAGCAGGTTTTTGCCATCCATTCTGGACTGCTGAATCAGAAAGTGGAATAACAAAATATTCTGCAAAAAAGTCAAAACTACTCACAGTGCATACAAATAAGCATATGTCTAAGTCTTTGCAGGAACAGGGCCTAGATATGCAAGTGTATGTCCGCATATTGGGCAAAGGCGGAGGGGGGAGCATGTATGTGAGAAAGCCACATCTAGAAGTTTGTCTCCAGCTATGCCTGTAAACATAATGCTATTTGTATAATGCTCAGAAATCTATTGATATTTTTACATGTGCAGAATCAAACCCATTCTATTTACATCTTTTAAAGAAGTAGTAGTGCCCAGTTTATTTAAATAGTTCAGTCTACACTGTCACAGTTCAGGGCAACTGCACCTGTATTTCCCCTCCATGGTCTAGCAAGGGCACCCACTTTTAGGCTTCTGGGTCTCAGTTGTCATCCCTCCTGGGCAGAGACTTATGTCTCTCTCTCTCCACTTTTTTTTCCCCCAGACTGAACAATTCCCTGCCGGCACGGTTATTCCCAGTAAGCCAGACTGCCTAGCCAGGGCATCTCTGTTTTGCTTTCTCTTCAGAGGCTTCTGCATAGCATAACTGCCACCAATTACAAGTTAGCACACAGCCCTTTATATGCCAGCACATGTATTAAGGTGAAAGCATTACAGAGAAAACATTAAAAACAATAAAAGAAACTACATGCATGCTGAAGAAGAGATTACCCCTGCTCCCAACTCCAGCAGGGACACTGGTAAGAGTCACTCCCTCAAACCTGTCATAGGGCATATAGCGCCCATCCCCCTCCCTGAGTTAGTGTGGGCACTGCACTTACTCCCTGCCTCAGTTTCCATTCTCAGGGAGCCAATAACTTCACTTCAGACACACTTGACATGTGACTCAATAATACCCTCCCTAGGACTTGTTTATTACAAAACCTCATACAAAGGGGCCATAACAAGTTCCAAATAAACAAAAGATGCTTCTGGTTTTCCAGGTTCCTTTATAGTCTGTCCTCTAAGTTCTGTTCTCAGTCTTTGTCTCTCTTTATGGCAGGAGGCTCAGCCCCTCCTCCTGGAGCTTGGGTATTTCAGGCAGTTATTGTCCCACTCTTTACTAGGAGTATCCAGCTCTCCTCCTGGAACTGGGTTGCAATTTATCTTTCTTAACTGGTCCCATTTAGTCTTCAGGCTCAGGAGGTTTAGCTGCCTTCTCCTGCTGTTGTCTGCTCCCTATTAACTCAGGACCCTTCTTACTCCTTGCAGTGTCTGCAAGCATCTGCCCTACTATGAAGGAGGAATAACATGTATGCTGTCCCCTTCTTCCGGCTCATTTCTTATTGGCTATGTAACAGCTGGCTGCCCCACCCTCTGCAAGGGTCCAGGTGCCAGGCCTTTAAAGATGCAGTTACTACTTCCTTTCTCCCCATATCTCCTCAGGCTTTGTGTGTCAAACCACCCCCCAAACTCTTATAGGGCCATGCCATGTGACAGACAGGACTGACCAGTAGGAAGTACTGCCCTTAATGGGCAGACTACCCCACCACAAACCCCACATAGGGATTTTTCTGTGGTTACAAGTTCATAACTGCTTTAGCTCAGAACAAGCATCAACATTAATTGGTAATCTTTCCTTTATACAGGTTTCAGAGTAGCAGCTGTGTTAGTCTGTTGCCGCAAAAAGAACAGGAGTACTTGTGGCACCTTAGAGACTAACAAATTTATTTGAACATAAGCTTTCGTGGGCTACAGCCCACTTCATCGGATGCATAGAATGGAACATATTGTAAGGAGATATATAAACACATACAGAGACTATGAAAAGGTGGGAGTTGCCCTATTAACTCTAAGAGGCTAATTAATTAAAAGAAAAAACTTCTGTAGTGATAATCAAGATAGCCCATTACAGACAGTTTGACAAGAAGGTGTGAGGATACTTAACATGGGGAAAATAGATTCAATGTGTGTAATGGCTCAGCCACACAAGTACTCCTTTTCTTTTTCCTTTATACAGTTTGGGCCTTTGATCTTCAGATTCCAGTAACAGGTGACCAGTATATAATCATGCTCTCCTCAGGGTGTAGCTTCAAAAGGCTGGGGTTTTGCATAACTAGAGGTGGGAATTTGAATTCACTTCTCCCTAGAGATTTCCTGGGCAAACCACTTGACTCTGTTTGTCCAAAAGTCTTATGTTGTCTGGCCTATTGTTCAGTATAGTCCTTTGAAATACAGAACACTTCCCAGGGCTCACAATAATACATAACCTTTACATTTAATACAATTTACTCTAAAGATACTTATTTCAATCCAGTTTTTCAAGGATATTGCAGGAAATTACCATATATGTCACATCTCCAGTAGACATCTTTTTCCAAGTAATCTAGAGGAAAAATAGAATTGATATTTCCTAACTACAGAGGAATAGAGAAAACATTTCTCTCATACTGTGGCTTTATGTAACTGATTTAAAATCCACTTGACACGTAGATCCAAATGTATTTCTCAAAAAAGTTTAGATACAATACAGTGGCACTTTAGGCAAAATGATGTACTCAGATCTGTACATAATGACCTAAGAAAAGCTAATTGAATTTGTGGAGTGAAGCTGAGTGTTTAGGAATTCTTCCATAGATCCATGTATATTCCATTCTCCAGATGGAGTAGTCCATTTAAAGTGGGTGAAAGCAGCAGGAGGTCAAGTAACTTGCTCAAGATCACAAACTTCACTACTGACTGAGCTGTGGTCATAAATGCAGGTCTTTTCAGTTGATTTCAGCCCAGTGTTCTCTTTCCACAGTGTGGGGAAAAATGCTTAAACTCTGTACATTCACCTATACTCAGATCCTATACTACTGAAGTCAAAGTGAGCTTTGACATGGACTCCAAATGGGTGCAGGATCAAGCCACTAGGTAGTGAACCTCACAGATTGTGCCATTGGCGGGAGGGAGGCTTCTGCATGTGGAAGGTGTTGAGGGGGCACGCTACAAGCCTGGAAGAATGCAAGGAAACACTGGGAAAGCAGGTTCCAAGTCTTTAGAGCCCAATGCTTTCGCACAGTGCTTCCCTCTCTGTGCTATGCCATATCATAACAGCATGGCTCACTCAAGAGAGATGCTGCCATTGGCTCCCGCCCTACGGCTATTCACACACTATATCTTTCTCCAAGGTGAGCTGTCGTCATGAAGGCAGAGTGCACCTGTAAGTGAAGCATTAACATTTGTGTGAGTTTCTTCTTGGACATCCACCATTTTTTTTGAAGGGATCATTCCCTGGCACCCTTCCCCTCAGAAAACCCTCAAAGCCAGCTTGATGGTGTGACATGAAGGGACTATGGTAAGCTCAGAGAACAGGAAGCATGCTACATAGCTGTTCCCCCTTCAGTGTATTTCTTCACATCTTTGCTCCCTGAAATGCACCACATAGGGGAGTATTTGATCCTTAATTTTCAGTTGTTTTCTCTTTGTCTTATAAATAAACTATGAAAATAATGACAATGTTGCTTAGTAAAAATAATAAAAGTCAAGAGAATAGATAGTGCTATAGAAACTAATTTTCATAACTGTCAAGTCTTGTTACATGTTTTCCTCATATCATAACAAACAAATGTTAACAAAAAGGGAAAAATCATATGCAGCTTAAAAATGCACACAGTTTTTCTGAAGCAGAACATTAGTAATGGAGATCTGGCATTGTAGCTATCTCAGACAGCTGTGATGGAGCTCACTTGTCAGAGTGGTGCTGCCTGCTGTCCGTCTCAGGGATTAGTTCTCTGAGCCAGCACGCTGTATCATGGTGGTGCCTCTCCTGCCACCTTCTCCACCTGCAGACCCATCTTAGCCCAGGAACCACTGTCTTTCATGACTCAGCCCTCCAGCCATGCCACCACCCCGTGTGGTCCCCCCCCCCCCAAACAGCGGTGTGTGTGTGGGGGGAAAGTATCTCCCAGTTCTATAGTCCAGCCACTTCCCCCAGTGGTGAGGCACCCCTGCTCCTCCCAATCCCAGCCCAGGAACTCTGTAGCTAGCAGCCTCCTGATGCCTGTCTCTCTGCCAGATCTGCTTCAATTCCCTGGGCCACTTCCTCGCAGCCCAAGCACCGTTTTTGCCCTCTTCTCAGGGTCTCCTGGGCCCTGCCAGCAATTGCTCTGTCCAAGGTACTACAGCCTACTAAGAACACAGTCCTCTCTCCTTGAGTTCCCTACAGCAACAGATCCTGCTGTGCCCTGCAACTCCCTTTTATGTGAGCCTGCTGGGCCCTGATTGGTTGCTCTGTGCAGCCTCTATCTGATTGGCTGCTCCCGGCACAGCCTCCTTAGGCTGCTTTTAACCCCCTTTCTGGTGTAGGGTGAACACCCCATCACAACAACATTAGGTCTTTCTTTCCATGCTGATCAGGAAAGATCACTTCTTCACAGAGCTCAGAGACTGAGGGCTGGGAAAAATTTTGTACCCCCTGTGATGTAGTTAGGTTGACCTATCTCCCACTGTAGATGCAGGTAGGTTGGTGGAAGAATTCTTCATTAACCTAGCTACCACCTCTCGGAGAGGTGGATTACCTACACTGATGGGAAAAACTCCTTCCATCGATTACAGGGAGTCTCTATACTACAGCACTGTGGCAGTGGCAGCTGTGCCTTTGTGGCTGCTGTAGTCTAGACATATCCTGAGGGTCAGATCATCAGCTGGTGTAGATTGGTATAGCTCATGTAGGGCTGTTAAGATGAGGTGATCTTTCAATGGATGTTTTTTATTTCAATAGAGCTATTCTGATTTACCCCCAGTGAGAGTCTTGCCCAGTGTTTTGGACTATTAGGCTGCTTTGACTTTACATTTCTCAGTCTTTTAAGAACAGCAGCAGCTGTGGGCCAAAATCAGTGGTGACTTGCACCCTCTGGAAATATGTTTATTCTCAGATTTGAATTTAGGGAACCATAAATTTCTTGGGTTGTTATCGTCGCTATAATCTCCTTTTGATATCATATCATGTATTGAAATTATGCCTTTCTTAAAAAAATGCTTCTAGTTCTAGTTCCCCACATATTCCCTCCTGTATCAACAGTCATTTGGAAAAGTCCGATGAAGTGGATAAAACAATAAAATATCCATCTCTGTAAGAGTCAGCTAAGTATTTTAAAAATACAGAGGGGAAGTTTCAATATTGGGAAAGAGATTTATCACCGTTAGAAAGCAAAGAAGATAAGAATTATTTTTTACTTTAAATATGTGAAAATTGGGCTAAATTTATCCGTGGTGTAACTCCACTGGTTTCATAGGAATTGCTATACTGGATCAGATCCCTGGTCCATCTAGTCCAGAATCTAGTCTCTGACAGTGGCCAGCACTAGATGGTTCAGAGGAAGATGCAAGAAACCCATGGAGGCAGATGTGGTATAAGTCCACATTCTAACCCTAGTAGGCAAAGATTGGCTTAAAACATGAAACATGAGATTTATATCTCCCTTACAATCATGTTTTTTCCCCTCTATGGATTAGCTATTATAACTTTTTATATTCTTGTTTTCCATAAAAATATCCAATCTCTCTTTGAATCTTGCTAAGTTTCAGTGGTTTTATCTATACTATAAATGCCCTTTTGAATCCTTGTACACTAGATTCAAAGCGCAGGACTAAGAAGTCTTTTCTCTTTTTGAGAAAGTAAAAAGTTTGACTTGTGAGGAATGGAGATTTAAAAAAGGTGACAGCTATTCAGAAGGACTGCTAGAATAAAAGAAAAAGTGATACTTACTTGAACAAGAAGATAGGAACGGCCATATTGGGTCAGCCCAAAAGTCCATCTAGCCCAGTATCCTGTCTTCCAACAGTGGCCAATGCCAGGTGCCCCAGAGGGAATGAACAGAACAGGTAATTATCAAGTGATCCACCCCCTGTCACCCATTCCCAGCTTTTGGCAAACAGAGGATAGGGACACCATCCCTGCCCATCCTGGCTGTGAACCATCGATGGATTTATCCTCCATGAATTTATCTAGTTCTTTTTGAACCCTGTTATAGTCTTGGCCTTCACAACATCCTCTGTCAAGGAGTTCCACAGATTGACTGTGTGTTGTGTGGAAAAAATACATCCTTTTGTTTGTGTTAAACCTGCTGCCTATGAATTTAATTTGGTGACCCCTTGTTCTTGTGTTATGAGAAGGAGTAAATAACACTTCCTTGTTTACTTTCTCCACACCAGTCATGATTATATAGACCTCTATCATATCCCACCCCCAGTCGCCTTTTTTCCAAGCTGAAAAGTTCAAGTCTTATTAATCTCTCCTCATATGGCAGCCGTTCCATACCCCTAATCATTTTTGTTACCCTTTTCTGAACCTTTTCCAATTCCAAGATATCTTTTTTGAGATGGGGTGACCACATCTGCACGCAGTATTCAAGCTGTGGGCGTACCATGGATTTATATAGAGGCAATATGGTATTTTCTGTCTTATTATCTATCCCTTTCTTAATGATTCCCAACATTCTGTTTGCTTTTTTGACTGCTGCTGCACATTGAGTGGATGTTTTCAGAGAACTATCCACAATGACTCCAAGATGTCTTTCTTGAATGGTGGAGTGGGGCAGCTGCAATAAAGAGGGGTTAAAAGCATCCGTGGAGGGGGCTGCAGCTGGGAAAAAGTAGGCTGACTGGGAAGCAGCCACAGCTGTGGCCAGCTTAATCAGAGCCCAGTTGGCCCTTATAAGAGGGCTGTGGGCCAGAAACCAAAAAGAGTCTCTCTCTAGCTTCTGAGAGAGAAGGACCTGGCTGCCTGTGAGCTGAGAAGGGTAACTGAGGTGGAGCAGTGCTGGGGAGCTCCAGCTTGATTAAACCCCAGGCTGCAGGCCTAGAAAAGGGCCTATGAAAAGGTACTGGGGCTGCAGAGGGGCAGCCCAGAGATGGGAATTAGGCAAAGGCCACAGGTCCTATTACCTATGATGAGTGGTTTGCAGACTTCAGTCTGCCCCAGTGAGTGGGGGCTAGATGGTGACTGGCAGTAGCCACTGAAGCAAGGTCGGGATAGAGGGTTGGGGGTTCCCCTGGGTGTGGAGACCCAGATTGTGGGTTACTGCTGGGGGCAGAACCCTAATGTAGAGGGGCACTGGGGTCTGGGAGGGACCAGCGGCAGGTGAGACACTGGCCTGCAGAGGGTGCTCTGGGCTGGAAGAGCTAATTCCCAGGATGACCAGCAGGAGGCACCACACAAGTGAGTCGCACCCTGCTACAAGTAGTAACAGCTAATTTAAATCCCATCATTTCATATATATATATATATAGATATAGTTGGGATTATATTTTCTAATGTGCATTACTTTGCATTTATCAACATTTAATTTAATTTGCCATTTTGTTGCCCAGTCACCCAGTTTTGAGGGATCCTTTTATAGCTCTTTGCAGATTGCCTGGGACTTAATTATCTTGAGCAATTTTGTATCATCTGCAAATTTTGCCACCTCTCTGTTTACCCCTTTTTCAAGAATACGTTGAACAGGACTGGTCCTAGTACAGACCCCTGGGGTACACCACTATTTACATCTTTCCATTCTGAAAACTGACCATTGATTCCTACCCTTTGTTTCCTATCTTTTAACCAGTTACCAATCCATGAGAGAACCTTCCCTCTTATCCCATGACTGCTTACTTTGCTTAAGAGCCTTTCGTGAGGGACCTTGTCAAAGGCTTTCTGAAAATCTAAATACACTATATCCACTGGATTCCCCCTTGTCCAGATACTTGTTGGCCCCCTCAAAGAATTCTAGTAGATTGGTGAGGCATGATTTCCCTTTACAAAAACCATGTTGACTATTCCTCAACAAATTATGTTCATCTATGTTTCTGACAATTTTGTTCTTTACTGCACTTTCAACCAGTAACTGCCAGGCTCACCTATGGAGCCCTTTTTAAAAATTGGCTTCACATTAGCTATCCTCCAGTCCAGGAGTAGGCAACCTATGGCACGTGTGCCAAAGGCGGCACACGAGCTGATTTTCAGTGGCACTCACACTGCCTGGGCCCTGGCCACCAATCTGGGGGGCTCTGCATTTTAATTTAATTTTAAATGAAGCTTCTTAAACATTTAAAAAACCTTATTTACTTTACATACAACAATAGTTTAGTTGTATATTATAGACTTGTAGAAAAAGACCTTCTAAAAATGTTAAAATGTATTACTGGCATGCGAAACCTTAAATCTGAGTGAATAAAT